TTTTTCACCAAATTAAATATCTATTTTTTTCAGTTTTATACAGTATTGACTATGATTGTGAATTGGTAGAATGTTTAAATGTTTATTATATTTACATGCAAATATGAAAACATAAATTTTGAAATATAAAAGCATAAAGAGCTCTTGGACAGGAAAAGAAAAATATCTCACCTGCTTTTGCTCTAGTACCTGGATTCAGTGTGAAGTTGTTTACTCCAGTTCAGTGAATAACTAAAGCCAAAATGTTCACTTCAAAGTAAAGATTAAAAAAAAACTACTAGTGAGCCTAGCATATGTCTTTCCTTTCACAAAGTGAATTTTTGTATTTCATATTAAAGCCCCAAGTAAATCCAGGAATCCTTAGATACTTATATGGGCATGAAAATTAAATTAGAATTCATATATGCAGGCTTCTAATCTCTTCACACATATGCACTCCTTTAGCTTGTTTTCTGTTTGGTAGAGGTGGAAAAAGCCAAAAAAAGGGTTGTGTTTTGGATTGTAGAATATTCAAAATGTGTGTAGTCATCATGATAATTTAGCATTCATACGTAATTTCTCTTTGAAAAAATTGCTATCACAGTGAACATGGTCAAAGATTCATGTAAATAAGGGTGTGTGTGTGTGTGTGTGTGTGTGTGTGTGTGTATACACACATACATATACAAATACATATATATACAAATTTTCCATTTTTTTGCCAGAGCCCATAAAACTTGTAGTCACTGTAACATGTAGATTGACAATGGTAAAGGGTGTCTGCATGTTAAGTCTATCAACATTGAAAGTTATTACTTTTAGTTATTTACTGAATCTTTTCATTGCAGTATTTTTCCAATGTTGATTCTTTTGAGATTTTTTTCTTTTGTTTAATTACTTTCTCAATTAGATGTGTACTTTCCATTGGGCTATTTGTTGCAGCTTGCCTCCTTGTCTCTGCCTAGAATTCCATTAAATGTTTTCTTCAATACTAGTTATGAATTTCTTTAGGTTTTGTTTGTTATGGAAGGTCTTTATTTCTATGTCAGTCTTGAAGAATAATTTTACAGTATATAGAATTGTGGGTCTATAATATTTTTTTCTTGGGGAAGGGTTGAATATCTTTACTGTAAGCTCTCTTGGCATGCTAAGTTATCTCCTCTTGTCTTGATAGGCTTGAGTTTATAAGATACTTGGTGTATTTCTCTAATTATTTTTTCTGAGACAGGATCTCACTCTGCAGGCCAGACTGGCCTAGAACTCACAGTGACTCTCCTGCCTCAGCCTCCTGAGTGCTGTGGTTATAGGAGTGAGCCACTACACTTAGTCTTCTAAATGTTTTTAATATTTCCAGTAGCACAGGAACTTGCATAAAGAATCAACAACTGGGATATCATCTTATTAAAAAGTTTCTGCAGTGCAAGAGAAACCACCAACAGAGCTAAGAGACAACCTATAATGTGGGAAAGAATTTTTACCAGCTGTTCCTCAGAAAAAGGATTGCTAACTGGAATATATAAACAATTTTTTAAAAATCAAGCCCCGCAAATATAAAGACCTAATACAAAAACGTGCATCTGAAATAAACAGACATTCCTCAGACAAAGAAGTAAAAGCAGCCAATAAATATATGAAAAAAATGTTCAACATCACTGATCATTCAAGAGATGCAAATGCAAAACAACACTGTTATTCCACCTCATCCCAGAAAGGATGGCTGCTATGGAGAAATCAAGCAATATCAGATGCTGGTGAGGGTGTGTGGAGAAAGGAACCCTTCTCCATTGTTGGTGGGAGTGCAGACTGGTGCAACCACTGTGGAAATCAATATGGAGACACCTTAAATAACTAGGATTAGAAGTCCAAATCTACCCAGCTCTCCCTCTGCTGGGTATCTTCCCAAAAAATTAAAAGAATCATACCCCAGAGATATATGTGCCCCCATGTTTATAGTAGGACAATTTGTAATAGCTAAAACTTGGAAACGGCTCAATTGCCCATCTACTGGAGACTGGACAAAGAAGATGTGTTTTATTTTCTATAAAATGCAATACTCCTCAGACATAAAGAATAAGAAGCTAGAGACATTTGTAGCTAAGTGGATACACATTGAGGACATACTCTTAAGTGAAATTAATAGGACACACATGTGTAAATACTATATAGTTTCTCTGCTGTGATAAACTAAAAGTGGAAATAAGGATCCAAATGTATAATTGGTATTGTGTATTAGAAAGAAAATGTCTAAAGGTATAGGGGAAGTGGGAGGGGAAAGAAAAAGGTAAGAAGGGAAAAGAAAAAATAAGAAAAAAGGAAAAGACGGAAGCAACATCTTTGAAAATAGGGAAGGTTGGAAGGAGTGTAGGGAGGACAGGGGAATGGGGAAGAAAGGAGACCCAAGATGCGTTATGTAAAGGTACAAGATCCCGATGACGAATGTGACTGTATTGTACACCTAAAATGCACCAATAAAACTGTATTAGAAAAGAAGACATCTGAGTCAACATGAACTACTTCAGAAATAGAGATGAAAACTCTAAGGATATTTTAAAAGGCAGAAAATTTTTTGAAAGACACAAGCATATTACCAGAAATTATCACATTAAGGCAATTTATAAATTAATAAGTGAACTTCAACATAGGTAAACAGGAAAAAGTTAAAAATGAAAACTGAAGTATAAAAAGTGAGAAAGGTCAGGACATGGAAGATCATTCAGGAAACATATAAGACAATTTCCTGAAAATAAGTTTTGTGTAAAAGAAATAGTAAGGTCAAGGAATGAGGAAGAGAAGGGACATGTTAAAAATTATCCAAATTTAATGATAGAAAATAATCCATTTCAGGAAACTGAGAAATAATTGGGTATCGTAAACAACTACACATACAGGCATATGTTTGCACATCCAGGCACACACACATGTGTTTGTGTGCACATATACATCAAAGAAACACTATTATTAAAATAAGATGGGAAAAGAGACCAATAGCATTCTTGAAGGAAGCAGGCTGGTAAGGTACAGCGAACTTTCAGAAAAAATGACAGTAGGACTTACACTCACCTTATCTCACAAAATGATGCAAATAGGTAATATCAAATCCATCTTTCAAGGGCTAATGGAAAAAAACAAATTCTTTTAATTTAGAGTCCTAGACCCACAATTTTATCTTGGACAAATGGAGGGCAAATGTTCTCATTCTTCTATTTAAAGAGAAGATATTCACTGATAACAGATGTATCAGACAAGAAATAAACAAGTACTTCCAGAAGAAGACAAATCATATAAGGTAGCTATATTGGCCCTACATTTTGAAAGAAAGAATATCAAAATAGAAATAAGTAAAATAAAACAAATTCGTATATTTATATTTCTTAATGTGATGGTTATTTTTTTCTTACTATTATTAAAATGTTTAGGTGATAACAAACTATAGGTAAGTAATGAAAGCACTTATCAGGAAAGATATAAAGAAAGATATTGAACACTGCATTGGGCCCACACCCTATACAGAAAGCATAGTACTATGTGAATAAATACTGTTATTAAATATGTGAGGAAAAAACACTTTAGCCACAAAGAGCATAAAAATCAAATATAAAAATGAATATCACATAATCAAATCATATAAAATTCTTAACTCTAATAAATGCGGTAGGAGAGATATAGACATATAAAAGAATAAATGCTGGCAGACATAAACTTTAACAATATATTCAGAATAGCAGAACAATAGTAAAATACAAGAATTATAAGAATGTCATATATAAAATTTATTTGGATGTGGTCTTTCTCTTTTTCCCTATGAGATGTTATTCAAGCTCTATTAAAAACAGTGTTCTTTCAAAATTATCATTGCAATTCCATGACAGTAATTTTCATAACTGATATGTTAATTAAAAGAATAACTTTCAGATGCCTTACACAGCAGGGATACAGTGGATGTATGATGATTTACATACTGGAAATGACAGAACCTGATGGTAAGAGATCTCACCATGCTGTGCAAGAGAAAGAGAAATTTAAAACTTATTCCCACAATCTTCCACTTAATAATTTCCAAACTCTTATTGACTGTGGGAAACTAAATCCACAGAAATTTCAACTGCACATAAAGGTAAATGCTGTACTAAATGTACCTAGATTTATAGCAAACTGCAATCAAAGCAGAAATATCAACAAACTACAAACTCACTTGAATATATTCTTGGAACAAATAGCTGAGTCCCAGCCAAACACAAGTGGAATCCAATCCATCTCAACCTGCTACTATTCCTAACCTGTCCATATAAGGCAGAAACCTCATCATGCTATACGCAGATAAAGCAACACCCAGTTATTTCTGGCAACACCTAGTTATTTCCATCCGTCTGATTTTTTAGTCTGCGAATGTCCCCAGAGGAGATCTCTAAACCTGTTCTGGTCCTGAGTGAAGTCCAAACGCCACTTAATTCTTGCTCACATAAAATTATTAAATTTAATTTGTGTTAATGTTTTTCTTTAATGATACCAACAATGTATAGTCTTAAAAATTCAGCTGTGCTAGGGGAAAGCACTTCTTGAGGCAACACTGACAAAAACGGATCTCAGATGGTTCCCTTCCAGTCTGCCTGTAGCTCCCCTTTTGGCAGGAAGCAATGAGTCAAAAAGATGCAATGTGCAAGTTTCCTGTCTCCAGTATATTCAGCAAAGTCAAAACTGGAAGAAAGAGGTTTGGGATTGCGAGGTACCAAATTAAAACACACACACGCGAGTGCGCGAGCACACACACTCCCTTTAGGAGTTGTGCTTTTGCTTGATAAATACAAAGAGATTTTCTCTGGGTAAAGTAAACACCTAAAATTTCCTAAAACAGTGAAACCTATGACACTGCCATGCCTTATCTTCATTTATGGGCTGGCTAATATTTACATCCTAAAATATAAGATACAGCCGAGATTTTTCTCAGTGGTCTGTGACATATACTATGATATTTCTATTGCCAGAACACTAAAAATTAATACATGGGAAATTTTATTGGGATTTAATTTATTTTTGAAAATTGTAATTTTGTGCCATTATTTCTTCTGTTTATTGAACCTTTGGGGTTGCTCCCCCGGCTGGAGAGCTGGCTTTTTTCCTTGCTTCCCCGGGTGGAGCTTGGACATTTTGTGCTGTTTCCCCGGGTGGAGCTTGGACATTTTGTGCTGCTTCCCCAGATGTAGCTTGAACATTCTGCCCTGCTTCCCCGGGTGGAGCTTGGACTTTTTGCCCTGCTTCCTCCGGTGGAGCTTGTTTTTCTGCCTCAGGTGGAGCTGGAACATTTTCCTCATCTTTCTTTCGTAGCTTTTTGTGTAAAAGCAAAAGCAAAATTAATAAAAACAAAATCAAAGCCAAAATGCTAGTAAAAAGCACTAGTTGAGGACCCTTTTTCTGCAACACATTGAAAGCATAGGTCCTTTTTTTCGCCGGAGGTGGGCCACTGTCAACGCTACCTCCATCGCCGCCGACCTCACAGGTGGGAGGGGCCCAGTCATAGTCGCAGTGGCAGTGATGTTTATTGTTGCAGATGCCTCTCCCATGGCAGGCATCAGGTAAACAAGCATTAATCCAAATAGGTATCGAAATACACTTCCCTTCGATGCAAAACTTTCCAGCACCACACTCTGTACCGTTATACACTGCCCCAATGTCAGGTGTGCTCATCCCAAAATGGTAGTCAATACTCCAGCAGGTCAGAGGATTCAAATGAGTCCAAATGAGAGTGTCATGATCCCTCAACTCGGGAAGTTTTGGTACATTATCACACTGAATTCTACCACACAGATAATCTGAGTCATTGCATGCTATGTATGTCTGTTTTCCTCTACGACAGTGACCAAAGCGGTCACCTCGCATGTTCATTTCTTCATAGCAACCCAACTGTGCATTCTTGGCATCCTCACCAAATATTGCCTTACATTGGTAATTGCGGTTATTACATCGCCTTTCATAGCAGAAGCCCTTGCCCAGGCAAGGAAGCCCATCTTCCACATACACATCTTCTGGACACAGAGCTGAATTTCCATCACACCACTCTGGCAGATCACATTCATTGACCTGTTCTCTACATACTGTGCCAGATGCTTGGAATTGGCAGCCTTTGCAGCAAAGCCCCGAAGCACAAACAGAACCTTGACTCAGAACACAGTTTTCTAAACAACATGAGTCATTTGCACATGATTTGGTGGTACCACAATCACAAACTTCTCCCTCTTCAACCACATTATTCCCACAGAATGTGTATTTGAATGTCTTCTGAGGTTTATTGTACATACACTTTCCACTTGCCAGAACAGTCTGCATAAGTGCGGCATAACTGCAGTTGCTGAACGCATGTGCAATCTGGACACTACTGTCCATGATGCATCTGTCTTCCCCACATGCACAATACTGAGAGGTATGTGTGAAACCCATAAGGTGACCGAGCACATGAGCTGTAGTTGTTGCAAACTGAAGCAGGTTGTCATCCGTATGACACTCCACTCCGCAATTCTTAACTGCAGAACATATCCCCATCTGAGTTGCACTGCAAATAGAGTTACCACAAATATCTTGTTTAAAGACAAGATTTGTAGCGTCATTAGGCACACGTTGATGAAAGCCTCGGTTTTTCCATGAACAAAATGATTCTCGCATCTCTTCTATATTGTTTGCTGAAATGGGGTTTTGGTCAGTCCAGATCTCAACTGCCATGATTACTATATTAACACCCATTGTTTTAAAATAGGAATCTACTAAATTTACACATGATATTATATCCATATTAACTTGTGAGACATTACTTTGTCTAAAAAGGAATCGTCCCTTGTCTACCACAAAACCAACTTCACTATACCACTGGTGGACATACCACCCTTTATAGGAACTTTGCCTAAGAGCAGAATGATTATTCTCTTTAAGTTTCATTTGCCATCCCTTTTCTGTGTCTTCTTCTCTTAGTCTACATCTAAAGGGCTGTGATTTGGTCTCCTCAGGGTACATCTTATATGCCAAATGTTCAAATGTGATAGAATGATTTTGGGGCTTGATTTCATAAGATGTGTTATTTATGTGTAGCATTCCTCGAAAACCACCAAAACAGGTGCTAAGAGCAACTAAAGACGTGGGATCACCTTCGACATACCCATGATAGTAGCAATTGTTTGGAATAAAAGTTTGGTCCTCTTGGAGAGCACCCTGGTCTGAGTAGGTGAACACAGAGAGGTGTTTGTCCATTAAAAGCTTCTTTACCTTCATGTGGATAATGTGTCTCCGGCCATTAAGATGTAGGCTATAAGAGACCCAGTTTGTAGCCTTCGTGCCTCTAGAAGTGCCAATTATCCTTAAGAGTTTTACCACTTCTGGAGGATTGAAGTATTGGCTGTGACCACTGTGGGGCCAGGTAAGCAAAAAGGAAAACACCCAAATCCAGAGTAGCAGGAGAATGACCTTCATATGTCCCAAGGTCTCATCCATTTCTATTCTTAAATGAAGGGTGAGAGCACATGTAGCCTAGTTTGGCTGTCTCATCTTTTTGATATAGTTTTATGTAGCACTGACATTTAATGGTCTGTCTTCTGGTATAGCCAATTCATCCGAACAGCAACTAAAAATAAAAACAACCATAAGGACAGAGATAAGAGTTTCAGTGTGATCAGGCCAGTGTGGAGAAAAAGACATTAGTTCAAATGGGTTAGCGTTTGGCTCAAAGTATGAATTAATCGAGTGCATTAAATTTTCTTTTCAGTATTTCTGATGGAGGGTCTGATACTGGTATGCAAAATAGCCACCTCCACAGGTTGGTCACTACTGAACCTAGATGTATGCAAGGGCTCTTTACAGTTGTCAAAATATATGTATGTGTATAAATATTCCATGAATAATATTTAAAATAATAGTGTCATTAAAGAAACAAACATATTTTGTTGTGATGGAAGAATTTTGGTTTATATACAATGGGTTAAAGATATAAACAATTAACATTTTCTATTTCAAATAAGAAATTGCCTAGTAATATTGACCAGGAGAAATACATTAAAAACTGTTCACATATATTATATTTTCTCATGGTCCTCAATATGTAACTCAAGGTAGAAAAAAAAAAACCCTTCCTGGTCCTTCATCTAATCCTGACAAACTTGCAAGTATCAAAGGATCATTAATACTTCAAAATGCTTAATATCCTCTGTCATGAATACCTTCATTCAATAAGACAAAATATGAGTCACATTGATAGAGAGATATTATTTGAATGTTCTTATATTCCATCTATGCTTAAGAAATAAAGCATGTTTAATCCCCTGGACAGACTAAATGGGAAGGAAATTCAACCTTCCTAGGAAAATAATAATTTTACTTTCAGAGATGTAAAAGAATTGAGTGAATACCAACAGAATATTTGGTGCAAGTAGGTTTCTTTTTTTTTTCATTGAGTTTATTGATAATTTTTAAGTATACAGTACAGTTACATTTATCATTGGGATCTTGTACCTTTACATGACAGATTTGGTTCTCATTTTTCCCCATATCCCTTCCCTCCCTTCATTCCCTCCCCTCTCCCCTATTTACAAAGACTTTGTTTCCGTTTTTTTCCTTTTTTTCATATTTTTGCCTTATTTCCTTTCTCTTACTCTTCCCACTTCCCCTACACCTTTAGCCCCTTTCTTCCTATTTCACGCTGTCAGTTATACAATGTGGATCCTACTTACACTTCTAGTATAGCCTGATGTCATCAACAATTCAGGTGTGATTAAGATTATAGGCTAATTTCTGACAACAACATTCAAGATTGTTATAAATAAAATACATACATGTACCTATATCTGTCATATAAAATTGTTGTGACTATTACGCCAGATATGCCAGATTCACTGGATAAAGAAATGCTTAGTAGATGAGAGGAACGCATTCCCAGATGTGTCTGAGTGGGTCATGGAGATGTGGGTTTGCCTGTTATATATGGTGCCCGTCCCATTATTTCTCTTTGATGGTGTTCCCCAGCCCTGCTCCCCAGTTGCCCCAAACAGAGAGACTTTGCTCTGCCACGCCCTTCTGCCATGATGGTGCTGGCTTGGACCCACCTAAGATCAGAATCCCCCCAAACCCTTAGTTAAACTGAATGCTTCCTCTTTTAAGTTGTTGATGTTGTTTATTGTGTCTGGAAAAGCTGACTGATACAAATGCAAATATCAAAAAGCCATAACACTAATGTGAAAAACAAAAATTGACTGCTACCATAAACTAGGTCAGAGATTCTGACTTGGTGAGTACAGGAATGAAATATTAATAAAACTGTATTTGTATTATTCAGACATCATGCTCTCTACTTGGCAAAATCAAGTAAATGATACCTGTCTAAATATGTTCATGATTTGGAACATATATTTAGGCACTGTGTTTGAGGCAAAGGTATATCTTATGAATTTGTAAAATTGCATCTAATATTTCACATAAAATCCTTATTTTTATTATGCTAGTGAGAGTTTCCACAAACTTCATCAAAACATTGAACTAATGAGATTATTCAAAAAGGGAGATTAAGCATTACTGGCCTGGCCAAGGAAAAACAATAATGAAGAGTGAATTCAACAAGATGTAAAGTGCATCAATGAAATACAATATACCACAATAGGTAATATAAAATGAATCATGTAAGACTCTCTCATCTCTCTAATCAGTGTAATCATTCATCTCTCCTAGACTCAGGAAACATGACTCCTTAGTTTTTCTTTTACTTGATTCTACATTCTTTGACTTATTCTACTCAGGATCATTATGATGACGATTACAGAATCTTCCTTTTATGAGCAGCAACAATCTTTTCTTCTCTACCCACTCTTCTTAAGGAGAACTCTATATCCCTACCTCATGTAACATTTTACCCATCGTTGTGAAGCCTAGCACAGGAAGCTTTCTACTCTCAGCATTCCCTTATGTCGTGTCTACTAAATAGTGGGTTATAATTAGTTCGAAGAAGCAGTGTCATTTCCACTGCATTGTACCATCACTTACTTTCTTCCTTACTCTTAACTCTATCCGCTCAAATCAGCAGGTTAGCCACAAAATATTGGGGACTGACTTACTATTTTTCTCTGCTAAGAATCTTACCCCTGTGCACAACCAACATGTCACCCAAATTGCATTATATTTTACCTTCCAACTCATCTTTCAACATATTTTGCCATCATCCTATTGTAATGGCCTAAATTTTATTAGCAGCTCTCGGCATCCTAAATATTATATGTTCACGTTAACCACAACTTGTGTTCACATTTGACACCCACTTATTCCTCAAATTTATGGAGCCATCAGATGGCTTATCTTTCCTGATTGCCTTCAGTTTCAAATCCCATCACTGTGCTTGCTATTTCTATAGTGTTCCTTAGTCTCTATCACTGCTTTCATTTGTGTGTGTGTGTGTGTGTGTGTGCACAGAAGTCTTAATAAATATTTTTGCCTCTATTAAAGAATTAAACACTTACATGACTTACCAAGATATGAATAGTTGGGTCCCATTATCTTTCTGGTTCTAGTCCCCTTGATGAACTATTTTAATAGCTATATATATGAAAAGATTTTTACTTGAGACATCACATGACAAAAATCAAATAAATCCCCCTTCAGTTGTAGCTAACTTAAATTCTAGAATTAGCTGCCTAGCAACAAGTGTCTCTAAGTGAATTAGAACAAATGGTAGTTCCTAACTCTGGCTCCATTATCTCCACCCAGTTTGATTTCGAATGAGTTTCAATATGAATAAATTTAATTTGCTTATCTCCAGTCAATATGTATGAGTTTTTCTTCAATATGAATAAGTTTTATTTCCTTGCTCTTGTTCTATGCTCTCTCCATAGTATATAATCACTTCATTATTGTATTTCTGGTCAAACTGAATCCTTGGTCATACATTATTTCATTAATATTAAACTATATAATGGAATACCTGAAATATACCAAATAAAATTTGATTCAATTTAAACTATTTTCTATGGGAATCAGAAATCTGAAATCATTTGTGTGTGTGTGTTTTTTTTTTTTAGGTACCAGGGATTGAACTCAGGACTGGCCCTTTCAAGGCAGGTGGTGGAAACACTGAGCTAAATCCTAGATCATCTGAGTATTGTTTTTGAAAAGGTCACTTAGTAAGGAGATATTTATTAACTGAACATAAATAGGTTTAACTTCTACAGAACACTATTATAAGTAAGAATAGACAAAAATAGAAGAAAGAAGAGAAGACACAAGTAAAGAAAAAGCAAGGGAATAAATTTCACTGGAAAATGACAAGCTCTCTGTTTAAAAGTACTGCACTGGAGGGATAGTTCTAAACAAACTGCTATGGGAAGCCATGGAAACAAATATAGATATTCATTATGCTTGAAAGTTCACCTTCAGGACTGTGAGCCCAAAGTCACAATATATGTAGCAGTACCTTGGTTCACAAATACTTTGTTTTATAATTTTTGTTTGTATGGGGAAGATGGCAGTGGTCATGTTTGCCACTTAATATGGAGTTTATGAAGGCAGCAAAATTTTGCCAAATGCTTTTGTTTGGGGACCAAATTGTTTGCAAATAGAGATATTACTGTTTATTTTTTCAGATAAAGAGTAGATTCACAAATCAAGATATAGGGGTTCATTTTATTTTATTTTATTGTGATACTGGGGAGAGAACTCAGGTCCTTACTTGTGCTTGCAAGGCAAGTAGCAGAAAAACTGAATGAAATCCCCAGCCCCTAGAAATTCATTTTAGAAACAAAGTTTGTTGCAGTGAGGGGAGTCAAAATTAGAATTCTGCTTTTGTTTTTGTTTGGTTTAACTATTGATTGAAGAAAGGCTTTTACACTGAGCCATCCCATTTTTTTTTTAATTTTAAGACAAGGCCTTGCTATTAAACAAAGGTTTGGTTAAAACTGGCTGTCTTCCTCTTTTAGATTCCCAGAAGGCTGGCATTACAGGCATGTGCCCCAAAAGGGAGCTATAGCTAGGGATTTTAACATCCAAAGAATGAGTAGCTCAGAATTTGGGGGAAGCCTATCCTAATACTTTAAAAATGATTTCTATTTCTTTTCTATGATGGATGTTCATGGCTTCCATCATGCTCCTGAGCTCCTCTTTTTTTAATCTGTATCAGCTCTAGAGTCACTAAGCATGTCTTTTATTCTGGTCATCATCTCTGTAGTTATTGTTTCTGTTTTATTACTGTAGCCAAGGTGACACAGTTGCTGATATCAATTGCTCTCTCTGTGCCAAGAATTGGATTGCCTTGGATTCATTAACAATACTGTGGGCCATTCAAGAAAAGGAGGTGCTGAGCCAAATACATTGTAGCCTACCCTCTCAAATAAAAGGAGGCTGGGCTGGGGATTTAGCTCAGTGATTCTGCTGTCTGCCTTGCAAGTACAGGGACCCAAGTTCGATCCCCGGTACCAAAAAATAAAGGAAGTTGTGGGACTCTGGGATATAGGCAAAGGATTGTAGTTAGTCAAGTACAAAGTGTATCACTACACAATAGACACTAATTAAGGAGTTCTCTATACGAGGAAAATGCCATCTACTATAATTAACCAACAAGCCTCAGCAAGAACAAAAATAGAAACATGGGAAGAGAAGGCCAAAAACACCAAAGGCCTGCAAAAATTCCCAACTCCACTACAGTGGAGTTTGTGCAGGTCATTAAGGGGAAGGAAATCAAAAGCCAGACTGTTTAATTATTCATAAAGATTGGAGGAAATTAACAAGAACCATAAAAAAGATCATAAGGTGATTGGTGATTTCAAAAAAGATACAACTATACAGATAATGGACCTAATAATCAAAACATTCAGTGAATCTACAGAAGAAAATAATGAAAGACTAGACAAGCTAAATGAAAGGATATAGAACAATACATAAAATAATCAGATTCTATAAGAAGGTTTCAAAGAGAAATTCAGGAGATAAATATTCTATTAAAGTATGGGTAGTAGAGGTGACCAATGTGAGAACAGTGTCAGAACTAGAAGGCAAGTCTTTGTCAGTAAACAATTCTTCAATGTTACACCATAGTATGACTGCTGGAATTTTAAAACAAGAACAGAAAAAGTCCAATAGAATGAAGGCACCAGGTAGAATGAGCAGTTTAGTAGAAGAAAAAAATAGGAAATCAACAATAGGAAAATAAGACAATGTCAGGAATAAGTCAATACCTATCAGTAATACCTCTCAAAGATCTCAATTTCCCAATCAAAAAACAGAGTGGGAGAATGAATAAAAAATGAGATCCCATGGTATGCTGTATACAAGAAACATATTTAGTACAAAGAAACTCAGATACTAAAAGTCAAAGGATAGAAAGCAATATTCCATGCAAGGAAACCACAAAAACAAGCCAGATCATCTCTTATTTCAGACAAGACTTTAAGCCAAATATAGCTAGAAGAGGCAAAGAAGGTCCTATCTATTGGTTAAGGAAACAATTTATTGGGAAAAGATAAAAATTACAGACCATGTGAGGATGACCCCCTACATCTGTCACTGTGCACATCAAATTGCCAATTCTCAGCTGGCTTTGGACCTTGGTTTCCTTGGTTGCCCTCAACACAGGAAAACAGAGATGATACAAATTCACAGACTTGACTGAGAAAGAGGACAGTGTCACTCCGAGACTGGAGTGAACCACAGAGACTGGGTGAGAAACAAGCACAAAAGACAGGAAGGGGAAGGGTGGGTTCTAAACACAGATCCCTTGCAAACCCCTGGGTAGCTCAAGTTTAGGTCAGGATGGACAAGCCTGCTTGTTGTGGTGGGAGGCCAGGTTCAGTGGGTGTATCCTACAGAGGGGGCTGGACTTGAAGGTGTTAGCATTGAGCCTAGGGTCTACTTTAGGTCTTGTCCCTGAAGGCAGCAGAGACCAGTGGTCTGGTTTACTGTAAGTCAATATCTTGTTTGCCTTAGCAGTTTTGCTAAAGTACAGATCTCTTTGTTTTGGTTAAGAGTGGTACATGATTTGTCCTTAGAGTTTGTCAGTATTCAGTTTATATTTAATGTGGTTGTTGCTGACTTTGCTATGATGGCCAAGATGACACAGTTGTTGCTAACAATGATTTTCTCTGTATGCTATAGCTGGATTGTTTGGGAGTCAAAAATAATACTACAGCCTATTACTGCAGAACTAGGTACTGGGCCAAACAAGCTGCACAATTCCCTCCCAAATAAATAGAGAAAGCTGGATCCTTGGAAAGCATCAAAAGCCAGTGGTGAGCCACACACAGAAAATATCTCTGAAAAGTTGACATTTCCATCTTAGCAGCAAAGTTACCAACTATAATCAACCAGCAAACCTCAGCACAAAAAAAAACAAAAAAAGTAGAAACAGAAAACAAGGCCAAAAAAAAAAAAAAAAAAAAAAAAAAAAAAAAAAAAAAAAAAAAAAAAAGAAAAAAAAAAAAAAAAAAAAAAAAGAAAGCCTCCATAACCTACCAACTGAACCAAAGCTGATACAGGGAGCAACCAAAGGGAGAAAAACAGAGTTTCTAAATTGTTCTTAAACAATTTATGAATGGAGACATAATGTAAGTGGTAAATTGGATGTGTCCATCATAGGAATGAGGGAAAAGAGAGCTAAGGATGAGGTAAGGGAAGGTAAACTAGTAGGAAGAAAGTGTGGAAATGGCAGGAAGTAGAGACAATCTAAATAAGATGCAGCCGGGAGGGTGGCGCAAGCCTGTAATCTCAGCACTCAGGAGGCTGAGGCAGGAGGATCCCTGTGAGTTCGAGACCAGTTTGGGCTACATAGTGAGTGAGTTCCAGTTCAGACACAACTTCATAGTGAGACCTTGTGTCAAAAAAACAGGAAAGAAAGAGAGAGAGAGAGAGAGAGAGAGAGAGAGAGAGAGAGAGAGAAAGGATGGAAGGAAAGAAAGAAAGAAAGAAAGAAAGAAAGAAAGAAAGAAAGAAAGAAAGAAAGAAAGAAAGAAAGAAAATTAAATTGTGGTTTAGATATTAAATATCTCCCTAAAAACTGTGTTGGAAGGTGACCAGACAATGGCATGGCATGCTCATTACTGAGTTAGCTGACTGAGTTCGTAGCTGGATGCACCGCTAGGAGGTGGGGCCTGCTAGGAGGGCTACATCACTGGCTCTTCAACCCGGAAGGGTATGTTCTTGTCCATGGCTCCTCCATTTTCTCTCTGCTTCTTGGCTTCCATGGGTTGAGCAGCATTCCCGTGCGAGGCCCTTCTGCAGCGCCATTTCAGCCTGGGTGCCAGCCAACTGTGGACTAAAGTTTCCAAAACTGTAAGCCAACCAAACCTCTCTTTTGAGTTGCAAGTGTCAGCTACTTAGCCCCAAAGATGGACAAGTGACAAATATGACACCATAGAACAGGGACCCCAAGGTAGTATACAGAAATACGTATATCTATTAACCGAGACCATAAATAATCTTTATGATGCCAGATTTTAAGTTCTTATTTGCACATTTTATGTAAGCCTTGAACCCAGTAATTTCTGTATTTTTGACTGGGTTTTAAAGATGCTCTTTTTAATTCCTTTAGTCTAAGCCAGTTTGTTAACATTTGAAATATCTGTACAACTGATTCATCTAACTAAAACCCAAACACGGAGCTAGAAGATTTTAAATGGGTGAAAAAACCCAAA